ATCATGCGTTGATTTGTCATTCTCTTTGCGCGATCGATAAAGGTTTTGTTCAAACCGAGCGGGGGAGTACCAGCACACCAGCGGATTCAACCCTGTAGAGTTCATGTGTTATTTGACGAGCCTACATACACGTACACACTGTCTTTGAAACCAACCAAGAAAAGAAGGTGTACGAATCATACACATCGTCCTGGTTGTGGCAATCATCACCGGTTCGATTGGTCATTCGAGTGTGTTGCATATCTTGAACGTTTTACCTCGTCTAAAGACCAGTTCAATGCAATGAAGGGAACACCGGACATTAAGCTCTGTATTATTGTCTTCCAAATTTAGCTTCCATAGGGGACACTGAAGTAATCACCATTCTCCTACACAATTCTTGAACATGTTCTATTGATAATCAAATTTCACCCCCTCCCTCCACACACACATAAACTAAGGGCGCTCTTTGACCGAGATTTTGGTGGTCAACACCACAAAGTGCCATGCTACGACACCAACGGATCACATTCGTTACCCTTCTTAATTGTCATATTTCCTATTGCAGATTCCCTACTTATACTTCCGAGTAAGCAACAGTGTGGTATCCATGACAACGAAAGAAGCCAGGACCTTTAGCACATGCCCTCCCCTCCCAAGGTGCAGCTGAGGTTAGCAATATTCAGCTCTCAAACGCTGATCCATGTTTAAGGACTCAGGCAGTGCTCGCTAACAAATTGAAAACATTTTTCATGTACGCTTGCTGCTTGACTGAGAGGCGAATACAGTAATGGGGCGCCTGGAGCTGTACATCGGTTCCCTGTCTTCGACTCTTGATGATGACGATGAAGATGATGATGTTGACCATCATCATCTTTATCAAAGTCAAAGTCACAATCAAAGTTCTATAATGGAAAATACCTAAAAGAACTTTCTTTCTTGTCCCATAAGAGACAAATGGATCGATTTATGTTTCATAGAAAGATGAAGAATGTCACAAACGATCATCATCGTCAACATCATTCTCGACATAAACTGAATAAACGAATCAATAATCATTATCAACTAAACAAGATCAACATAGTCCACATCATCATTTTCATTGTGATCGCTAAATAATTGGTGTTTCAGATTACGATTGAGTGTCAAGTTTGGATTTGTTCTCAGACACGCTGAGACACAAACAAATACCCACACACACTAATCGTATTTCAAAAGTTCAACGGGATAGCGTAATGTGCTTTCCTTAAAGGTGACGAAAATGATTGCGCTATTTGAGTGAAGTATCCTGTTTTTTTTTCAAATTGATCCGGGTACTCCCGATTTGTGGGTGGCTGGTCTAACACTTGTGAAAAATGTCTGTCCCCGAAAGAGCCAGTTATGTTCCACTGATGACAAGTGCTTGAGTAATTGAATTTAGGGCACACTCGATTGCTTACCAAGGGTACGCGCTCACACACACACACACAGACAAACACACACTCCACCCCATTCTCGTAAGAATTAAAGAAAAGACAATCGATTTAATGTCAGTAAAGTTACCATCTCCCTCGGTCGACATTCACACCGGCATTGAGAAACCAAACTGGGTTGAGGTAAGTTGTTGAACCGGTGATCCAAGCGTTGACCTCGGTATTCGAGACAAAAGTAGCACAACATCAATTAGCTCCCAATGCAAACGGTGGGGGGCGGGCGGCAAACTGTTGCGCATTTTAGCACACCCGGAACGAGAGATAGAATATGATGTGGAGGCATCCGATAATTTAAAGTATCAAGCTTGAACTAGTCAACTCGATTGTTCAGAGGCACTCTTGATGGTCTTCGGTGTGGGTTTCACTCCTTGGTAGATCGTTAGTGCCCCACGAGAAAATGCATTCAAGTGCGATGGAAATGTTTGTGATGACCGACAAAGAACACTGTACAGCTATTTCGTCCTGTTTGGGACTCGTCAGCAGTGCGTACTTTTTGTGTCCCTGTCAGAACTCGAACCGCGATCATTTGGGTCGGAACTTCAAACTCTGAGCTACACGACCGACGGTCATCACCCTGTGCGAATGGCTCAATCAATTCAGAGTCGTGAAAGGAACACAAAAGTTACGCACTGCTGCAGATTCCCAAACAGGACGAAACAGCTGTCCAGTGCTCTTTGTTGGTTATCACAAACATATCCATCGCATTTGAATGCATCCGATAATGGTTTGGGCATTAAGTGATTTGCATGATTCAGCTTTTCTCCCAGACGTATCGACGGCTAATTCATTTATTGTCTTGGTCAGTCTTCTCCCTCCGACCATGTACAAACAGAGTCAGGTCAATTCAGTAGTAGCTTTCTGCACTCGAGTGCAAGAAGTTTGCAATAATGATGTTCATATGAATTTACAAAATGAAATAAATAACTAAAAGCTATAAAATGTGAACCTTTTAATGTGGCAAGTGAAAACTTCTAGATAAAAATTGGAGTCCCGAGCGTGGGAAGAATGTCGACAGGACTTATAAAGGTTCATGGAACAATGGAGGCTGAACGTGTCAAGGTACGTTTGAAAGAAAATTTTCACATACTCGTAGGTTTTTGTTCATGACATAGTTCCCAACTGCTTCCCTAGCAATGCAACCTTATTGACAGATGTTTTCACGATCTTGCCAGCAGATAAAGGATCTTGATTTGCAGCCAACCGGGAGAAATCACTGGGGAGCAGTGAAACCCATGTATCCACCAACCGCAGAATCATCTCGTGTGGAACAGACAGTTTTCTCGTTTCGAGTTAGAAATCTTAAAGCTTGCTAACCTTACATATTGTGTCTCAAACATGTGGAGGCCATCATATATTGTGTGATTGAGTCAGGCCTAGATACTTTACCATTGTTAATGTCGGTATAGGTTCATTACGGACGTGAGGAAGTGAGGATTTATCCGATTCACCGGACAACAGGGAAACACAATATCCCGACATATTGAAAGTGGTGTAATTGATTCTCTCTCGGAATACATGCACTCACTCACTAACTCACTCACTCGAACCACCGTACACGAATGACAATTTTCTGTTTAAATAACAAATAAAAAACACAGTTTGAGAGAAATTTTGTCAGTTCTTCTCGTAGGTAGTGATTCTTTGTCCTCCTTGGGAATCTACTGTACTTTTATCACAGCCTTTGCCCCGCAATTCGCTTCTCTAGGTTTGATTTAGCCTAGATGAAATTTGATGACTATCGTATCTGATTTTCAA